CTGGGTTTTTTCCAGCCAAGGCTAATTCTCAACCACTTGAACCACACATCTACTTCCTAATTTTTACAGGTTATTTAGAGATAAGAGTCTCTCAGCAGCAGCTGAAAAGTGAAACTCTTATCTCTAGTTAATCAGAAAGTGGAGCTGTGGCTTAAAGTAGGAAAGCACCAACCAGCCTGGAGCAAAAAAAAAAAAAAAAAAAAAGAACAAAGAAAGCCATGCTAGAACTTGAGGTTGTGAGTTGAAGCCCTAGTAGCAGCACATACACACAAAAATAGAGCATTACAATTTCATAAGGAAATATTGAGAGAATCCCAACGCTGGAGGGGTGTGGGGCTCACCTCTTCTTGCCCCTCCCACCCCTATAAAAAGCCATAGTTACATGTGAGTCATTTTCTCAGGTCCTACTAGTCAGAACACACTGGAAGATGACAACTAGAATTCTGGCTCTTCTGGCCCCTACCTAGGTGAGCCTTACTTTCCAAATCTATCACAGAGATATAATTCCACCCTCCCAGAAGTGTTGTATAAACGAGAGCAGATATGGAAAGCACCTGCCTAGTGCCTAGGAAATACCGTACAATAAATGACAGCTATTGTTACCAATGTAACCTGTGGTTTTCCTTAACATTTTAGCATAATTGATTCAGAAAGTTATTCTGAGTTCTGGAAAACATCACATTCAATGGCTGCTATAAAGACTAGCTCCTTTGCCATTCTCTTAAGAGAAATGTTTTGGCTGCTTCCAATTTTATCATCTTATAAATAGCTCTGTGATGAACAACGTTGTGAAATAGTTCTACCTCCCCCGTGTTTTGGAGATTTTTTTTCCCCTTAAGATTAGTTCTCAGAAGTGGAATTACTAGGGGAAGGATAATAAACATTTTTAGGCTTCATACACTTGATGTCTGATTGCACAAAGCAGGTGTTATTTCGCATACCTTGCCTCCCCCAGTCTTCTTGCCATTCCCAGAACCTCTTGTCCTCTCTGGCAGTGACATCAGACTGCTTCCTACCTCCCACTCCTTGTGCAGTCGTCGCCTCTGATCCTTCAGCTACAGATTGTCCCCCTACCACTGCCTAAATTAGTAAGTCCTCCTTGATCTTCAACCCCTTTCCCTTGCCCTCAGCCCTCCCTCAGTCAGGAGCTGAGTCTTAGGCACCTCTTTTCTTCTCCACTCAGCATACGGCACTAACAATCTCAATTTCATGTCTTTCTTGGGTAAACTGTCTCATGAGGGCCAATGTGGGCCAACTTGGGGGAATGTGGCTACAGAGGCCCTAAGCACTCAAGTCTTCCATCAGGAGAAGAAATGGAAGATAAATTTAATAAAGTGTCACCTTGAAGGATGGAGGTGAAACCACAGTTTTTAGACTCCAAGTTTTTAGACTTACCTCTCTACACTACAAATAATAAAGTCAAGGGAAAGAGCAGAGATTTATTCCATAAGCACATCACGGGAAGACAGTATTTCAGCCCATTTTTGGCCATCTTCAGGGTATAGATGTGAGCTTTGAGCTTTATAGACAACGAACTGGTGGTAGGGGGAGAATGTATGCATAATTGTCAAGCAGTCCTGGCCAAAATATGACCTGGTTGATCATTATTTCAGTCTTTGTTTGGGGAGAAGGGGGTGGGGGTTCTGGAGAAGTTATCATTGCTGTCATCCCTGACTGGATTAAACAAGTTATTTTGCCTGGTGGGTGGTCTGTCCTGAACCACTATTGTTCCTTAAGGATCGATCGCTTAGGTCTCTTGTCATAAAGATGTTATTGATCAGCCCTGTCCTTCCTGGAATCTAAAATGAAAGCAAAGTGACTGAAGAGAAAATGGTTTTGTGCAGACACATGCAAAATGGAGGTAGAGATGCCAACCTTTCCCTTAATTCATGAGCTCAAGTAAGGAGTTCACATTTCTCAGCAAAAGTAGCTTAGGAGTACCTCTTACAGAGGCTTTGGTGCAAGTTCCTAACAGATGGGAATCCGGGGATCTGGGGATCTTTGTTCAGAGTCTGATCCTTGTTGAAAGTCTGTGTTACTGTGAGCTAGCCACCGTGGCTCTGAAGGGGCGAGGGATTCTCAACAGTTACCCAGCAAGTGTCCTGTTGACTGTCTGTGTGACACAGGCACTGTCATTGAAGGAACAGTGAACACGACAAGATCTGGCCTCTTAACACTCACAGCATTAATTCAAATTCTACTCAGTCCACTCCAAAAAGGGGGGGGTGGGTAGGGTTGCAGGTACAACTATCATGCCATAAAACCCTCCAGTCTCAGATACCCTCCTCTTCCTCCTACTTCAGTGGCTGATGAAGCTTCAGTCCTTATAGAATCCATCTTGCCACCTACCCAGTGTCTAAGGCTCCGATTTATGCTGTTGCCAGCCTTCTTCTCCCTGGCTACCTCCTCAAGAGCCAGCTGCTATCTATGAGTTTCGGTGAGTGCTGAATTCCATTCCACCAACACTGAGATAAGGCCAGAGTGTGGCCTGGGGCCTGCAGGCTAATGGCAAGATAGATAGCACTCTGACTTCTTGAAGGTGCAATAGTAACAGGAGCAAATAGGTAAAGGATTCCTGTAAAGGAAGAGAGGCTGGGAAGAAAGGGAAGGAAGAATGTTAGAGGTTAGAGGTGGGATATGGCCATCTGGTTAGAATGAGGACTTTGTGTTCCAGTAATGAATTTGGATTTTTTCAGGTTGTGTGTAGGTGGCATTTTGACCAGAGCAAGTGGGTCCCTACTCAGATCTCTGTTTAAGATCATGTCGCAGTGATGAGATCAAAAAGGCCTGGAGACTGGAAATGACGGTGGTAGGGGTAGATAATGCAGCCCTTAACACCAGTCATGGCGTTAAAAAACTCCTGAGACAAAAATGCACAGATCCTTCTACAAAAATTAAAAACCCCATGGCTTGAACTCAAGGCCTGGGTGCTGTTAGCTTTTTTCACTCAATGCTGGCACTCTACCACTTGAGTCACAGCTCTACTCCCATCACTTTGCTGGTTATTTGGAGATAAAGACTCCCAGACTTTTCTATCTAGCCTGGCTTCAAACTACTTATTCAAATGTCAGCTTCCGGAGTAGCTTGAGTTAAAGGCCCAGTGCCTGGTCTTAACTCATTCATTGTCTCTAGGAGCTGTTCCTTAACACTCTCCCCTCCCCGCTTTCCCATTCAACCTGGGTGCTCATCTATTTGTTCACAGAATCTTAAAGAGACTCCAGGCAGGACCAGGCCTCCCCTCTGGGCTGAAGTTGACACAATTCCTATTCACACTGGGGTAGGCAGCACCCAGCAACTCAACAAAGAACATAGTCCATGTGTGTGGCTCTACAAAACAATGCTATCAGACAGGCCCCAGAAAGGGTAGGTTTGTGAGGAAAGTTGGGATATTTAAGGTCAAAGAGAAAGAAAACCCTCATTATCAAGACCCCACTGGGTAGTGTGAGGACACATACTGCCTTTTGGGGAGGAGGTGGGGAGGAACTACAGTCCAGGCTGACCTAGAACTCTCAATCCTCTAGTCTCAGGTGCTGGGGTTACAGGTCAGTTGTGACCACAAGCAGTCTAGACTATCCTGATTACATTTGCGCTTTTTTTGTTGTTGGTCTTGGGGCTTAAACTCTGGGCCTGGCTGCTATCCCTGAGCTCTTGAGTTGAAGGCTAGCGCTCTACCACTTGAGCCACAGTGCCACTTCTGGTTTTCTGGTGGTTAATTGGAAATAAGTAAAGGGGCTCATAGACTTTCCTGCCAGGGCTGGCTTTGAACTTCGATCCTCAGATCTCAGCCTCCTGAGTAGCTAGGATTACAGGCCTGAGCCACCAGGGTGCGGCTGATTGATTATATTTGATTTCCTCATTTGATTTCTTTCTTCTAGAAGTTGTAAACAAGCTCCAGCCTAAGAATTAAAATGGCTGACACTGGGCTTCCAGGCAGAGATGTGTTTCCATCCTACATAACCCATAGTTGGTTGAGCTGACCCTCCACCAATCTGCACAAAAGGCAACTCCTGTCTACTTCCCCAGGAATGGGGACCGGAACCCTGAAGCTCCCGGAGGAAATGGCAAGGGACAAGACAGCCTGGGATTACATTTGAGCCACAGATAATCCCCCCCCAAATCCAGAAGCCACCTGGACAGCATTTTACTGGACTGAGCTGCCTGTTCGCGTTCGCGTGGATGCGGCTGCTGAATTCATCCATTTTCCCGGAACCAGAAAACCCTCTCGTTTATTTATCTCCCCCCCCCCCCCCACACACACACTTTGCAAAAAGAGTGATGGAGAGAAGGACTGCCAGTCCTTTTGAGGGGAAGATCGGTTTGCGGGGACTGACTTGCTGGCTGTCTCCCCACCCACCTCAGCTCCCCATTTTTGTATCTTAGAACTTGCAGTACGGGGACATCTCAAACATGTATCGATGTCTAGGGAGGAGATGGTGTCGTGAGCCACCGGCGTCCATGATCATGCACACCCCCCAACCCCGGGGCCGCTCTCAGCCCCCAACTCCCACACACTGGGGTAGGGCAGGAACCTGCTCGGGCCTCATCCGGGGACCCTGCCTGGCGCCCGCCGTGCCCCCGCCCCCCCCCCCCCCCCCCCCGCCCAGCTTCTCAGTCCAAGTCTATAAAACTACAAGCCTCCTCATCGGCTTCCTCCCGTTCCCACACAGCATGGGTCACCGTGGCCCAGTGGCGTTCCCGACAACCCACAGGCGGTCCCCGGTGATGCTCGAGTGAGTCCCCAGCGCGGAGCCTCGGAGAGAACCAGCCAGGCGCCTTCCACTTCCTCCTCGCTCTGACTAACGCTCCGCGCCCGCCTCGCGCCTCCCGCCTCCCGCTCCCAGGGTGGAGGCGGGAGTTGCGGCGCCCCTCCCCCTGAGTAGGCGTGGCCTCGAGAGAAGGGGCGTGGCCATACCCATATTTGGCCTTATATGGGCAGCCACGTCATAGGACGCGCACTCATTCACATAAAACGCCGCGCGGCTGGCGGAATCCCCGGCTTGTGGGGGGGAGGACAGCGAGTGGTTCAGGCTGGGTGCCGAGCGGAGCGTGCGGGGCGGGAAGCAGCAGCGGAGCGGCTCCCACCGGCGCTGGGTTCCGTCGGCCGGCCGCAGCCCCGCGAGTGGCCCTCCTCCCGTACCTCGCCCGCCGGCACCCTGGCCGTGGGCACTTGCGGAGCGCTTGGCGCGGGGCCGCTGAGCAGCGGCGGCGGCGGCATGAAGGTCACGTCGCTCAACGGACGCCAACTGCGCAAGATGCTCCGCAAGGAGGCGGCGCGCTGCGTGGTGCTCGACTGCCGGCCTTACCTGGCGTTCGCCGCCTCGAGCGTGCGCGGCTCCCTCAACGTCAACCTCAACTCGGTGGTGCTGCGGCGGGCCCGGGGCGGCGCGGTGTCGGCGCGCTACGTGCTGCCCGACGAGGCGGCGCGCGCGCGGCTGCTGCAGGAGGGCGGCGGCGGCGTGGCGGCCGTGGTGGTGCTGGACCAGGGCAGCCGCCACTGGCAGAAGCTTCGCGAAGAGAGCGCCGCGCGCGTGGTGCTCACCTCGCTGCTGGCCTGCCTGCCGGCCGGCCCGCGGGTCTACTTCCTCAAAGGTGAGCGCCCCGGGCCCGCCGGGGTCCCCCTCGGTGCGCGGGCGGGGCGTCCGCCCGCATGCCGCCCCCCCCCCCGGGCCCGCGTTCCTCGAAAGCATCCCGCGGTCCGGGCGTCCGCCGGGCTGCGCTCGCCCCGGGGGTGCTGTTTCGTAGTTCGGGGGGCCGTGGGTCGTCCCCCGGCGGCGTGGACGCCCTGTGCGTCCCCGGGGGCAGGGCTCGGAGCTTTCCGTGTAGCTGTCGGCCGGGGCCGGACTGGGCTCCCCGCTCCCCCGCCTCGGCCCCCGCCCGCCCCGGGGAGGAGGGCGCCCGGCGCCCTTCTTCCTTCGCGCTTAAACAATGACAGTACCGGCAGGCCGAGTCTTCACCTGCCCCTCTTGCCCTCCTGACCCCGGCGAGGCCCTCCTCTCCCTTGCCATTGTCTTTGATCGCTTCTTAACACTCGTTCTTCCCGGCCTCCCAGACCTTTCTCAAGCCCAGTTTGGAGCTGACAGACTTCGCCCGCCCCTCCCCGAGCCAGGATTATCTCTCCGGACTGGTCCTGAGCTGCCAGCCCTCCCCCCACCCCGGCGGGGGGCGCGGGGGGAAGGGGCTACGGGCCAGCCTGCCAGGATCTGGGAAAGTCAGGGGCCATGTGAGGTGGAGACGGTTCCGTGGCCTTAGATTTGAAGCCTCCTGGTTCACCTGCTGGGGGACATAACTGTGGTTTCCGGTGCGGGTGGGCGATCACTGAAACTCTAAAGAGCATTGATTTCTGGCTCGCTTCCCGTGTGTGACTGCCTTGGTCACCTCAAATGTATGGTGCAGAGATGAGAGTTGAACCCAGGTTAGGGGCCCAAGGTTTTGCCATCCCTGTTATCTGGGGTTATGATGCTGATGTGTTTCCGACCTCAGGGACAGTGAGCTGAGAGAGTTGAGATCCTAAAACTCGGGGAATGTCAAACACTGAAGGCCTAGGAGAACTCCCGAGGTTTGTAGGCAGCTCCTCACCTATTAGCACCTCTTGCCCACTGTTCTTGTTGATCCCTTTGGGGAGATAACGGAGATGGATGATCATCTTCTCTATATAGCCCCCCCAGGGAGGATGGCCTCCTAGCTCTATGCAGAGCTTTTTTTCTCTTCCTGGAGTGTTTTTATCAGCTCTACTTAGCAAGGCATACAGGAAAAGCTTCTGCCTTCCCAGCTTTCAGGAAACCCTCCTAACCCTGCCTTTGCTTCCCCACCCCAGGGTTATGAGGACACAGGAAGTAGGCAGTTTTGGAAGCTAAGGAAAATTATGTTTTAGATGGTTTGGATTTTATTTCCATTTTTTTTAAATTTGGGGGTGGTTAATGTGTGCATATGTATGTGTTGGTAATGGGAGCTGAATTCAGAGACTTGAATGGAAATTTTTATCTAGATGAAATGATACACATACAGATGAAACTTTGAATAGCACAAAAACTGTATAGGTGTTGTGTTGTATGTGTGTTGCTGTGGGAATTGAGATCTGGGAGGGCCTCGGTGCTGTCCCAGGCTCCACAGTACCATTGTGTTACTTGACCACACTTCCACTTTTGGCAGCTTCTTTCTTCTTCCTCCTTCCTCTTCCTCCCTCCTCTTTCTTCTTCCTTCTTTCTTCCCTCCTTCCTCCTTCCTCTCTTTCTTTCTCCTTTGAAAAATATGTATTGCACACATCCTAACCCCTATTTCTGCTTCCCAGAGACAGCCACTATTTTATGGGCATTTTTAGATAATCCCCTCAGGTTATCTCTAAATAATAAGCTGGTTATATTTATTTCCTGCTTTGGTCTGTCTTACCACCTAGATCTTGAGTTCTCACCCACATCAGAATGCACATGTGAATTCCCCTTGTGAAAACTCTCCAGATTCCCTTGCTTGTTGAAATACTATGCAAGAAGAGAAATAACCTTGTCTCCATGTTCTGGTGTGTAGACCATCTTGTCATGAGGATTTCCAGGTCATAAGTTCTGTGAGAAAGAATAAAAGAAAAATATTTCTGTGCATTTGAAATTTTAGTAGGAATTGTTACATTTATAATAACACTATCACTTTTCAAAGTATTGTCAGAGGAAAATTCCTTTCTCTCCTTACCTAACTCATATCCTTACTGAAATTAGTAAGAGTTCAGATTATAACTTGGTGTCCTTCTGATCTTGAAACGATGCCTTTTATACTTCCCATAGTCTCTTTTCCTAGACAGAGATCCACTAAAGTGAGATGATGGAGACTCTAGTTGCATGGCCCTTGCTTATTTGTGTAGTGCCTGGATATCACCTCTGTTTCCCTGCCAGTGCAGTGATTGAAAACAGACTTGCTGTAGGTTGAAGTGACTGTAAGAATTGCCATGGCTTGCAATGAGTGAGGCATCAAAGAAGAATGTTCTGTCTCCACACCTCTGATGGGAGTGGGTGGAAGACCGAGCCCATCTAATCTCCTGACCCCAGTTTGAAGAGGCAGGGCTCTGTTTATCAGTCCCTCCACTATAAGGAGATTCTTTGTCTGCCTGCCTTGTTTTGTCAACAGGCAGGCTGGAGGGATCTAGCCCACACAGGCACCTCCTTCTGCCCTCCTGACAGCCAGCTCTTAAGTGGTCTATTTAAAGCCAAGAGATGAGGTGGCCTAAAGGCTTCTTGCAAACCTAATCCTAGGTTTGCCACCCCAAATCAGTCATTTTAGCTCCTTCTACCCAAAATATGGCCTATGCACAGAACACAATCAGGGGCTTTACTAAGGATACCTCCAAGGATATGTGGATCAGTGTGAGTTTAGCATTCTCTGCCTCCTAGAAGGAAGGAGACTGGGGGACTGGGGGTGGGGGGGGGAAGCTAATCCATCAACATCTCCACCTCTTACCACCCTCCTTCCATCTTCCGGCCAGGCCCCTTGTCATTATGTGGTCACTGTGGAGCTGTCTCTCAAAGTGACCACAGGGAGATTGGGTGTACTAAATGGGGGTGGGAGAGTGAGCCAGGGGAAGCAGTCACGGCGAGATGACTCATTCTAGGAATTGACTGCAACCTCTGGGAGGGAGTTAGAGACTAAATCCATTAACCATTTCCTACTGCAGGTTTTTTGTTTGTTTTGTTTTTTCCCCCAGCACCAACACAGAGTAAAGGGAGGCTTTTTGGTCCCAAAACACGTATTTAATTAATGATTTGACACCAAATGAATTTTGTAGTCTATTACTAGACAGAAGTGGGTTTTGTGGAGCTCTCAGCAGAGGCCTCCTCTGCACACCCGCGGCCTTGTCAGGTTTTCACTTGGTTCTTCAACATTTTGTGTGATGGCTCTGAAAAGGCTTATCTACATAGGGATGAATTTCTGTGACTCAGTGTCATTTTTAAACTTCAGTGATCTGTCTGGAGAAGCTAAAATGTAATGGTCGGATTCTTCCTCACCAGCACTGACTTCTCAGTGGGACATGGGAAGAGAGGAGTCAGGAGGGAAAGATAATAAATAAGAAGTCAGAAAGGTTCACAGGGGAAAGAGTCAGGGTTGGTTTTCGTTTTTGTTTTTTGTTGGGCCTGGGTGCTGTCCCTCAGCTCTTCAGCTCAAGGCTAGCGCTCTACCACTTGGGCCACAGAGCCACTTCCAGCTTTTTCTGCTTACATGGTGCTGAGGAATCGAACCCAGGGCCTCATGTATGCAAGGCAAGGATCCTACCACTGAGCCACCTTCCCAGGCAGAATCAGTTTTATAGAGACTAAGAAGTTCGAGATCCTCATTCTTCCCATTTGGTGGAGAAGTTAATTAACTCTATTAATGACTCTAAGTTAGCGCACAGGAGGGACTATCAGTAGTGTTTTTTCTAGTATCTTGGGAGTGGGAAAGGCCCAGGCATTTTAGTGCTCAAGAATTGCAGGCCCATCCCCTTATCAGTGTAGGGGTCACATCTGTATGTAGTTCTGCTTTGTACATGGCCTAGGGAAGAGCCAATTCAGTGGTTTTGTGTAGCCACACCTTCATTTTAGATACTCAAGATAGAAAATAGCTTTTGTTTTCTGGCAGGGTTTGGCTAATACTTGCCACATGTCAAATAATTCCTTTCACAATGGGTTAACTTTGATAGACACATTGCCTCTCTGAAGTGAAGAAGTGATGTGTGGGTGGGTGTGTGCATGTGTATAGAGCCCATTTCTATGCTCAAACTACTTGATGGTTTTGATTTTTTTATGACTGGCTTCTATATTAGCTTACGAGGTTTTTTTTTCTTGAAAGCATACTATAGTACTGGCTAATGTCTTTTCTGACAACCTGTACAACCAATGGCTCCATCCATCTCACTTTTTGTTTACTTGCTTGTTCATTTTTTCAGGAGGATATGAGACCTTCTACTCAGAATACCCTGAGTGTTGTGTAGATGTAAAACCCATCTCACAAGAGAAAATCGAGAGTGAGAGAACCCTCATCGGCCAGTGTGGAAAGCCAGTACTCAGCCTCAGCTACCGGCCAGCTTATGATCAGGTATGTGCTTTCTAGCTCTGCCTTCCCAATGCTCTACCACCTGTCCCTGCTTACATTCACTCTTTGTAGATCAGGGTGCTGGCATCGTCCTCTAGCTCAGAGGTTTGCCAACTTGAGTTCTAGCCAAAAAGTAAACAGGCATCCTTCCAGATCACACGCCAAAAAGAGCCAGGAAGCCACAGGATGCTGGAAAGCTTCTGGAAAAAAAGGGGAAGTGAGTTAGAGTATTAGTGGATGGCTAGGGTGGTTCAGAGAAGCCTGGAAATACCGGATTAGGTTTCCCTGAAGAAGTGTCAGGCTGGGCACTGGTGGCTCATGCCTGTAATCCTAGCCACTCAGGAGGCTGAGATCTGAGGATTGAGGTTCAAAGCCAGCCCCAGCAGAAAAGTCCATGAGACTCTTTGCTCCAATAAACTACCAGAAAACCAGAAGTGGTACTGACTCAAGTGGTAGAGCTCTTGTCTTGAGTTGAAGAGCTCAGGGACAGTGCCCAGGCCCAGAGTTCAAGCCCCACAACTGACACACAAAAAAAGTCAGAGCTGCCTCTCAAGCTTTTGTGTTTTTGTAATTGTGAATATACCAGTTTCAACACACCCATCTGTACATGTCAAGGTATGTGTTGTTGGTATTTTTAGCTGAAATGGATGGATGGAGAAGGGTGGGTGGGTGCTACAGAGAAGCCACTGTTTGGATGTCTAAGCAGGATCCTCTGTGGCTGGTTTTGGTTTTTCTTTTATTTTTTTAACAGGGTCTCACTAGTCTTAATCCAGGTAGGCCCTGAATTCATGATGTGCTTACCTCCCTCAGCCTTTTGAGTGCTGGGATTATAGGCATAAACCACTCTGCCTGGCTTTCCCTGAGGGTTTCTGATGCCTAAAAATTTGTAAATACTGACACCAGAGGAGATCAAAAAGCATTAGAGGACTTTGTGGTTCTATAAATGTGTGGGTTTTTTTCCCCCTCTAAAAGTTGTGTTTTGTGACAACGCCTTAAAGGGCAGGGAATTGCCTGGCATGGAAGATAGGAAAAGACAGCTGAGAATCTGGAGCTGGTAGACACCAGAGCTCAGACCACCTTACCACTGCACCCAAGGTGGAGGAATCGTCATGTGTCATGGGACTACTATAGGTGGTCCTTTAGTGAGATGGGCCCTTTGTGAAGACTCGGCTCAGAACCTCTTCTCCTATCTTCCTGCTCTGGTTCTTCTCAGGACCTCCTCTTTTCCACATGCCCACTGGCTTGGGCACCTGACTTGGGGGAGCTTTTCAAACTCCTCCCCCACCTCCCAAACCAAGCACATAGCCTAAGGCAAACCTTCCAGCCTTTAGCTTAGGCAGAGCTCCATCTCAGGACAGACTTCCAAGAAATCCTGATGGCCTTGTCCTGAATAGGATCCTTAGTCAGGAAGCCTAGTTAGCCTGGCTGGGTCCCAGGGTTGTGATTGTGTTTGTTTTCATGAAGAACCTCATCTTGTAGGGTGAGCTCTTGGCCTTTGAATTAGGGGGATCAGGCAGAGCTTGACGTCTGTGTTTATTTGGGTTGTGCTTTGCCCATTTCTCAGAAAGTGAAAGAGAAATAAGAATTGATGGGGGTTGCGAAAGCACAGCAGACTTTGTCCAAGCGAGGGTGGGTGGGGAACCCAGTGCATCTTCAAGACTCACTGGGGAATCCCTGAGTGCTACTTCTTAGAAATGCTTCCGTGCTTTTAGAAACCCTTTGTGGTTTCTGAAGGTCATTGGTGTCTTCCTCTTGAGTCTAGAGAAGATTTAGAAACAGAAAGAAATATGCCAATTAAATTGGCTCATGCCAATAACCTTAGCTGCTCAGGAGGCAGAGATTAGGAGGATTGAGGTTCAAGGACAGCCTGCTCAAAAAGTGAGCCCTTGGGGCTGGAGGTATGGCTCAGATGGTAGGATTACGCCTGCCAACAAGTATAAAGTGTGTTCAAGTTGGGAGTCTCATCTTAGAAGGGAAAAGAAAAAAAAGAGAGACTCCATCTTTGTTGTTGGTGGTGGTTGTGATGGTGGTGGTCGTCATCATGGGGCTTGAACTCTGGGCCTGGGTGCATCCCTCAGCTCTCGAGCTCAAGGCAAGTGCTCTACCACTTGAGCCACAGCACCACTTCCAGTTTTATGGTGTTTTCCTGCCTGGGCTGGCTTTGAACTGCGATCCTCAGATATCAGCCTCTTGAGTGGCTAGGATTATAGGCCTGAGCCATGGCTGAGACCCCCATCTAAATAAGCACAATGGGGCACAACTGTAATGTCAGCTATGGGAGGCATAGGAGGATTGCCATCTGTTAGGAGGCTAGCCCCAGCCCAAAACTCAAACCTATGTAAAAAACAACTAGAGGGAATTAAAAAAGGATGGAGCTCTGGCTCATGTGGTATAGCACCTGCTTAGCAAGCTCAGGGCCCTGAGTTCAAACTCCAGTATTGCCAAAATAAGAAAGGGAAAGAAATTTAGTTTCAGGAGTATGTTGGGCCAAGCTCCAGGGGAAGTTGGATGGGGTCCCAGGCCTGATATGTCAGCCTTTTCCAGGCATACAGGAAAGGGAGAGATCTTAGTGTATGTGCTTGCTGCCTCCTTGAGGTGGGTCTATTTATGCTCATTGGTATAGACCCAGAGCTGGTCAATGGGTGAGTAAAACTGCACTTGGGTCTCTTGGGTCTCTGGAGGACTCTACCACCACTGGTGTTTTCCTCCTTGCTAACCAGAGGGGAGCTGAGCCAGAGCATAGAACTGCTGGGATTAACTGAATCCTTATTTGCCCTGTGTCCTCTCCAGCGTGAGAGCAGGAGCTGTGTTCTATATGGATCCTAGTTCTCACCTCGAATGAAAATGGCAGCTTCATAACATGCCAGGTTTTACTGCATCCATTATCCCATTTCTGTCTTAGCAATTATCCTGAGAGGATAATGATTGATGTCATCTGCACTTTACAGATGAGGGTTCAGGGGTCAGAGAAGCTGCTCAAGGTCATGTCAGTGAGGGGCAGGCCTGGGACAGCACTCAGCACTGGGAGGGGTGCTCCATGTGGGTGCAACGGCCTAGCCTCTGGAGAAAGAGGACAATTGTTCCTTCCTGTCTTCACCTAAATACTGGATTTCACATACAGACCATTTTGAAATAGATTCAGAGGAGTCCTTGCTGCTCATGCTGAGTGGTCAAACTTGGGTTTTTCAGTCCCAGTTCTACCACTGACTGGCTCTGACACTGGCAAGTTAATTAAGCCCATCTGAGCCTCAATTTACCCATTTGTAAAATGGAAAAGTTGTCTGCCTTATACATTTTTGAAATTAGTACCATACAAGAATCTTTAAAGTGTTATACCCTTAGCCATAGCCACTGTAGCTGCTACTAAAAATACCAGTGGTTATCATTATTAACCATATATAAAATCCTCTGTAACTTTGTGTGTTCGCGTGCACGCGCGCACAGATACTGAGCTCTTGGATCTTTTGCTCAGGGCTGGTCCTCTGACCACTTGAGCTACACCTACGCTTCCTGCTTTTTGTTTATTAATCCTCAGATCTCAACCTCCTGAGTAGCTAGGACTAAAGGTGTGAGCCACTGGCACCCTTGGTAGTTTCTAAGACACCAAACTGGCTTCTGTTTAAACACTAGACATCCCCCAAAGAGAAAAGGCAAACAGCAAGCACTGGGTAAACAGAATCCCCTGCGCAGTCTCTGGTCCCTTTCTGTGTCATGTATCTTGGTTTCCATCCCACTTTTATTCTAGGACAGGAAATGGGTATTATGGGAAAGGCTCCCAAAGACTCAGCCACTGCCCAACTCCTCCCCTGCACACAATGTTTCTCTCTGAATCTCCAGGGACTCCACTGGCTTTTTCTTGTCACCTTTGAATCCTGTGAATCCAGATTGCTAGAGGCAAACTGGCTTCTTTTCCATTTCACCTGGAGTAGATGGGCTCTGGTGTTCCCTCCACTAGAAGCGGTGGGCATGGGCAATGACATAAGCCTTTCTCTCCAGCATCAGTGCTGTGTGTGAAGATCAGGGGCTGGGAAGCCCCTCTGCTTGTGATCTAACTTCTTTTTTTAGACTTTTTTGGCTTTTAGATTCTGAGCAGGTAGTGGTTATCTAGTTCTTACTTTTTTGAGGAGTGGGGATGGTGACACATTTTATCATCTCTAAAATCTAGATTATTTTCGTCTCAACAGTGTCTTGGGGTTGAGGAAATAACACTATATAAAATGTCCAGGTTGGGACTAGTGTAGTGACTCAATGCTTATAACTCAAGTCACTTGAGAGGCAAGAACCAGGAACACAACAGTTTAAGGCTAGCCTGGGCAAAAAATAAGGCACAGTCTCAACCCAATAGTGGAGCACAGTGGAGTGCACCTGTCATCCCATTATGGTAAAAGAGCAATTACGATAGTCATGGTCCAGTAAGCACAAAGCCCTGAGTTCAAATCCCAGTACTACAAAAACAAAAACCAGTTTATAAAGAAGGGAGCTCACCTTGTCAAACCCTTTTCCATCTTATCTGTGGAGAAACTGAGGCTCTTCCAAGAGTCAGAGGTCACTTCTCATGGCAGCTTGAATGTGAGTGCTGGCCTTTCTTTCCTCCTGTCACGTAACATCACAGCACACCACTTCTCATGCTGGTTAGCACGGGAAGGCAAAGGGTACTTCCTGCCTCCTCAGTAAATTCCAAAAACAAAAAAGAAACAAACAAACTCTGGGCCATGTGGTTTTGCTGTCACCGAATCATAAGGCAGTCACATAGGTTAGAGTGCCAGGATGAAGGTGCCACCCACTCAGGGCTAAACCACCCTGCCTCTCAACTGTCTGTACTTGGAAACCAGGAAGGGAATCTCCTCCCTTAAGAAACAAATAGGTCAGACTTTGTTTTCTTCTGTTTTTTTTTTTTTTTTTTTTTTTTTTGGGGGGGGGGGGGGTCCGGTCATGGGGCCTGAACTCTGGGCCTGGGTGCTGTCCCTCAGCTCTTCAGCTCAAGGCAAGTACTCTACCACTTGAACCACAGCGCCACTTCTGGCTTTTTTCTTTTTGCTTATGTGGTGCTGAGGAATCGAACCCAGGGCCTCATGCATGCATGCAAGGCAAGTGCTCTACCACTGAGCCACCTTCCCAGCCCCCAGACTTTGTTTTTAAGGGGGGGGGGGGGCGGAGAGGGTAGGATTGAATTCAGGGCCTTACACTTGCTAGGCACTCTACCACTTGAGCAGCATGTCTCCAGACACCTTATGCCCTGGTTGACCTGGGCTACAAATCCTCCTACTTGTGTTTCCCCATGTCACTGGCATGACTGGCATGTACTAACTTCACCCAACCATGTTGCTTCCCCCACAGCTGGGGTTACAGGTATGTACCCAGCCATTGGTTGAGATGAGGTCTCACGAACCTTTATGCCAAGGCTGATCTTGGAACCACAATTCATGGATTTCCTTCTCCCTTGTAGCTAAGATCACAGGCTTGAGCCACCTGGCTAATCTTGGTTGTTTTTTTGCTTTTTTCTTCTCACAAATGAACCAGCTCATCCAATATTTCCTGGGTGTTCTTTGTCTCTGTTTCTAGGGTGGCCCTGTTGAAATCCTTCCCTTCCTCTATCTTGGAAGTGCCTACCATGCATCCAAGTGCGAGTTCCTCGCCAACCTGCATATTACAGCCCTGCTGAATGTCTCCCGCCGGACCTCCGAGGCCTGCACAACCCACCTACACTACAAATGGATCCCTGTGGAAGACAGTCACACAGCTGACATTAGCTCTCATTTTCAAGAAGCAATAGACTTCATTGGTAGGTTTAGCTATCCCCTCTCTGAAACCCTTGTAGTTTGCATTCTGCTCTTTGAGGGTCCTGATGGGGCCTATATCTCAGAAAGAAATGTCTTGCTATGCGCCCGCCCAGCATTGGGGCCAAGAACACACACAGCTACCAGAAAGGCAAAGGGGAGGGCTTGCTATTAATAGGAGCTTTAATTTGCAAGAGAAATGAATTAATATAATTTTATGGCAATACTCACTGGCGCTCTTGTTGTTGTTTCTAACTGGGCGGGAGCAGAGTGTCCATGCGTAATGCTCCACATGAGGAAAGCAGGGGGAAGAACTTCTTAGCTGTGCTTCTACGTAGGTTGGGATATTTTTAAAAGCAAACAGAAGGATCGAGGGAGCACTACTTACGCACGGGGCCTCGAGGGCCCCAGCAGCTTTCCACAGTTCTGGCAAATGGCTTTGGAGGCAATTTGTTTTGCATTTTCAGCTAATTTTGGATTGAAGATAGCACTTGACTCAAGCTCCATGCTTTGTGCACAGAAAATTTGGCATCTTTTGTATCCCAGCTGCCCTCCTGGGAAGCAGTTATCATTTACTCCTTATTCAAGCCTGAAAACTGAGGCCTTGGCCTCTGGAGCCCTCTGCCTGAACAGACTTTGGCCTTGGGGTTTCCAGACACAAAAGGCTGCCTGGATTGTCCCCCCATACTTCCTACATCCCTCTCCCTGGGGGACTGCCCTGTTTTTTGTTTTCTTGTTCTTTTTTGTTGTTGTTGTTTTTAGTCATGGGCTTGAACTCGGCCTGAACGCTGTCCCTCAGCTCGTCAGCCACCAAGCCACTTCTGGTTTTCTGAGTAGTTTATTGGAGATAAAAGCCTCATGGCCTCTTTCCTGCCCAGGCTGACTTTGAACCGTGGTCCTCAGATCTCAGCCTCCTGAGTAGCTAGGATTATAGGCGTGAGCCACCAGGCGCCTGGCTTACTGCTTACTGCTCTGGTTTTTATCTTTTTGTTTCATTGGTAAATTCCACCCATTTTCCTGAAGCCTTCTTTCTCCTCTCTCTCTCTTTCTCTCTCTCTCCCTCTCTCTCCCTCTCTCCCTCTCTCGCTTTTTTTCTTTTTACAGTCAGTTGTAGAACTTGAGCTCAGGGCTTGAGCCTGAGCTCTTTTTGCTCAAGGCTAGTACTCTACCACTTTGAGCCACAGTACCACTTCTGGTTTTTTGGTGGTTAATTAGAGATAAGAGTCTCATGGACTTTTCTGCCTGGGCTGGCTTTGAACTAGGATCCTCAGATCTCAGCCTCCCCAATAGCTAGGATTACAGGTGTGAGACATCAACACCTGGCCTTCTTTCTCTTTAACAAGCCTAATTGTTAGAAATAAGATTACTTTTCTATCTTGTTGCAAGAGAAGTTGGAGGGGGAAGGCAGATGGAAGGCACAGTGATAATTACTTAGTGCAGGAAGCAATTACAAAATCCCCTTCACCACACATAATTTCTGCTCCACAGGAAACCCTGACAAACTCACCAGAGGCAAAAGACTGAGCTTATCCTGGTCCCTTGAACCTCTGTGTTGATCCCCCTGGCACCTGAGTGCAGGCAAAATGATGGGTTCTGGGTGGGAACCTTGACTTGTTCTCCCTGTGCCTGGGAAGGCCCTGCCCTTCTTCTCAACCTGTTATTTAATTACCTAGATAGCAACTGAGTCAAGTCATGAAACCCATCCCCATCCAGCTCTCCCATCCTGTGTGTATTTTGTGTCTGTCGTGTTTGTGTACACCGCCACACAAAAACCTACAGTAATTGGGGGCTAGGAATGTGGCTTAGTAGTAGAGTACTTGCCTAACATGCATGAAGCCCTGGGTTCAATTCCTCAGTACCACATGAAAACACAAAAAGCTGGAGTGGCTCTGTGGCTCAAGTGGTAGAGTGCTAGGCTTGAGCAAAAGAAGCTCAGAGACAGTGCCCAGGCCCAGAGTTCAAGCCCCAGGACTGACAAAAACAAACACAAAACCCTACAGTATTTTGAAAGCAGGGGAGACTTCTTCTGTGTCTTGCCCTGCTGATGGAAGGAGGGATTGGACTTCCTCAGTGGCCTTGTGCTGAGCCCTCCTGCCGGAAGAAGGTACTGTGGGAGGTAGCCCCTGAGGTGTAGGGAGGGTTCCAGAAACTGCATTCTAGATCTTTCTCGTTCTTGGATGGACCTGCTAAACTCTGGAAGCCAGTAGGGGAGCCAAGGAAAACTAGTCACAGTGAATTCTATGATCCTAGGAACTTGTGTCTCCGCCTTTGAACTAGTTCACGGGAGCTTTTGTTGTAGGTTTATTTTTTTTTTTCTTTTGAATTGTGATAGACTCAGCACCTCTAGCCAGCTGTCCTGGCTGTCCTTTGAGGGCTTTTTTTGTTTGTTTGTTTTTTGTATAATAGTATCATACTATTCTCTACATTTATTTATTTATTTTTTATTTTTTTGTCGGTTGTGGGGCTTGAACTCTGGGCCTGGGCGCTGTCCCTCAGCTCTTTAGCTCAAGGCGAGTACTCTAACTGCTTGAGCCACGGCAGTAGCCACACCTTTGAGGGTTTTTCTTGTTTAGCCATTCTCCCTGACCCCTCAGAAATACTATGTTTTAGATATTGCAAATTCATCTGCAGACTTCTTGAATATGGGACTGGTCGGGATAAGAGGATTGACTTTTCCCTCCCTCACCACTTGTTCTTTCCTTTTGCATCCTGTGGCCTTACATAGTATTGGTTACATCTAACTCTTCTGTAAGATACAGACCTTGTGGTTTTGATTGGATAATGTGCTCACCTTTATCTCTTCCCATTTTTAGCAGTGTAGTTCTGTTTGGCTGGGCCTGTATAGCAAAAAAGGAGGGGCCCTCTTCTGTCACTGAGCTCAAGTGCTAGCTGATGATAATTTTATAGCATTGCCTCCCATTCTTGAGCAAGCTGGCTGGAGTTTGCAAAAGCCATTTATACACTTCATCTAGTAAGCGTCACTTAGCAGGGTTATAATTAGTGGCCCTGCAGTATTTTGTTGAGAACCCTGGGAGTTAAGCCAAACATCCTTCCTTGGCATAGTCACAAGAGTGCCCAGGATGGTGGATAGGTCATTATTATTAATCCAATAGAAGCCAGGCACGGTGGCTCATGCCTATAATCCTAGCTTCTCAGGAGGCTGAGATCTGAGAATTCTGGTTTGAAGCCAGAAGGCCAGGATTCTTTATCTCCAATCAACTAGTAAAAAGCCAAAATGACTCCCATAGTAGAATCTACCCTTGAGTGAAAAAGCTAAGGAATACCACCCAGACCCTGAGTTCAAGCTGCAGTACCAGCACAAGGAGGGGAAAAACAAAATCCAACCTTGAGAGGCAAAAATTGCTTCTCCAGGTTAATCTTTAAGTCTGGGATGCTCTCAGAAAAATACGCATATCCACTAAAAACCTACATATGATTTCAAGGATTTTTCCAATGTCCTTTTTGAACCCCATCAGTAGAACCCAAGTTAAAACGACATCCCAGAGTCTCCTGCAGGTCTAGTGCCTCTGGTGGCAGAAGCTGCGAGTGACCTGAAGAACTAAGGCACATCTGTAAGAATTAAAAGGTCCTATACGAGGGCAGACATTAGTGGGACTCCACAGCTGTATCCTCACCAGTGAGGGTTAAAGACCAGCAGAAGTCTAGTGAGCTTCCATGAGCGTAGGAAAACTAGGTCACATCATTGTTGAATTTTTTATTCTAGTTCCAACTCACGTATTCTCCCCCCTTCCCTGTCTCTTCTTTATTTTTCCCTTCCAGACTGTGTCAGGGAAAAGGGAGGCAAAGTCCTGGTCCATTGTGAGGCAGGAGTCTCGCGTTCCCCCACCATCTGCATGGCTTACCTCATGAAGACCAAGCAGCTCCGCCTGAAGGAAGCTTTCGATTACATGAAGCAGAGGAGGAGTGTGATCTCCCCTAACTTTGGCTTCATGGGCCAGCTCCTGCAGTACGAATCTGAGATCCTGCCTTCCACGCCCAATCCCCAGACCCCCTCCTGCCAGGGAGAGGCTGCAGGCTCCTCATTTAGAGACCATTTGCAGACACTGGGCCCTGACATGCAGGGTGCCTACTGCACATTCCCTACCTCAGTGCTGACATCTATGCCCCCCCACTCCGCCGTCACAGAGTTCCACAGGAGCCCGGCGGCCACAGCCACATCCTGCTGAGACTCAGGAAGGGATGGGTGCCAGCCCAGCCTCAAGAGAAACTGTGATTTTGTTTTTTAAAACTCGTGGACATTTCATACCTGTGCAATACTGAAGACCTCTGTCGCACCGGCCCAGGGAGCTAGTGAAGGGGTCACCAGGCTTGCAAACAACTTCACACTGACCTCGAGGATGGGTTCTGGGGACTGAAGGAAGGCCAAGCCATTAGGAGAGCACACTGTGCTGACTACTGTACTTCCAGACCCCTGCCCTCAGGCCCGCCCAGTCCTCACTTCAGAGTTGGCCTTTTCATTTCAAGCATAAGGCAATAAGTCCCTGCAGTGCTGTGGAAGCCAGAAGCTGCTGGTCAGGCCAGGAGAAAAGGCAGCCGGGAAGCCGATCCATTTTGAAGAAAGCACAATTTCCATCTTCTTTTGGAAATTTTCCAGTTTCTGTTTCTTTCTGTTTCTGTCGCTTCAGGGCCTAAGCTGGTCCCCACTTAGAAAGGTCACCCTGTTGGGCATCTAGGCATGTGATGGACCGGCCCGTTTGAGCCTGGACTGGTTTTGGAGATTCTCTTATGGCTCTGATGGAGCCAGATGGTGGAAGGAGCTAGCCATTGACTGGGTTTCTGGGTTTCTTTTCTGCTGTGGTTCCTCCCTGACCTTGGACTTTGGCATGACTTATTCATACTTGAACCCGTCTCATCTCCCTCCTCACAGGAGCTCTGGTGTCATTCGAAAAGAGTTTCAAACCATAAGCCAAGAAAATGATCCTTTTGAGGAAGTGGCCATGAGGGCCACAGAAAGAGGACTCCTGCTGTATTCTGAGTTGGTGGCACGGAAACCCATCACTCTCTCAGCCTGCTGTCCTGTGTGCTTGTCTCCCGTCTCCTGTGACACCTGTTCCCTCCCAGCCCTGGGGATTGTCATCAGGCTACTGACTTGCGGGATTTACAGATTTTGCAAAGTGGTACTGCTGATTTTCTTTCTGTAGGTTATTTCTCCAGGGGAAAAGGCAATAATTTCCTAAAACCCATGTGAATGTGAAAAAAAAGCAGTATGTTATTGGTTGTTTTTTATAATGTAAAATAAAAATAGCAAAAGATGAAAGCATTCTTTGTGTTATTCGTGAACTGGGAAGGGGAGGCACACCTTTGGGCAGATACCTGGTCTGTTCTACTCGGTTTTAATTCCAGTTGAACTGTAGGGTGAGGCTGTGTCTGTCCACAACTCAGCAATCAATTTTGGTTTTCTTTTTTCTTTTTTGGGGGGGGACTGGTACTGTTTAACTCAGGGCTTTATACTTGTAGGGAAGGCATTCTGCTTGAGACATACCTCCAGTCTTTTTGGTTTGTTGTTTTTTTTTTTTTTAAGAAAGTCCTGTGACTGGGGCTTATATTCAGGGCCTAAGCACTGTCCCTTAGTTTTTTTCCTCAAGGATTGCTCTCTACCCCTTGAGCTTTTTTTACTTCCTGCTTTTTTTTTTTTGTCGTGGGGGGCTTGAACTCTGGGCCTGGATGCTGTTCCTCAGCTCTTCAGTTCAAGGTAAGCGCTCTACCACTTGAGTCACAGCACCACTTCCAGTTTTCTGGTGCTTAACTGGAGATAAGAGTCTCGTGGACTTTCCTTCTGGGACTGGCTTTGAGCCACAATCCTCAGATCTCAGCCTCTTGAGTAGCTAGGATTACTCACGTGGGCCACCAGTGTCCAGCTTCACTTCCTGCTTTTTTTTTTTTTTTTTTTAGGGTCCGGTCGTGGGATCTGAACTTCTGGGCCTGAGCGCTGTCCCTCAGCTCTTTTAGCTCAAGGCTAGCGCTCTACCACTTGAGCCACAGCACCACTTCCGGCTTTTTTCTAAAATTTTGCTTATGTGGTGCTGGGGAATTGAACCCAGGGCTTCATGCATGCAAGGCAAGCGCTCTACCACTGAGCCACCTCCCCAGCCCATTCACTTCCTGCTTTTATCTGGTTAGTTGGAGATAAAGAATTTCATGGACTTTTGGGTTGGCTTTGAACTGTGATTCTCAGATCTCAACCTTCTGAGTAGTTTGGGTTATAGGAAAGAACTACCAACGCCCAGTTTGTCCTGTTATTTCTGAGATAGTGTCTCAATACCAAGCATTGCCTGGACTGCAAACCTATTTACTTAGCTCAAATAGTTGGGATGATAGGCAGGCCCAACCACAATCCAGCTTCTTTTGTAATGGGGTCTTGTGAACTTTTTGCTCAGGTTGGCCTTGAGTTGTTAAGTTCACAAATCTCTGCCTTCTCAGCCACCTGCATCAAGTTACAAATCAGTGTTCTTATTTTCTTCCTTTAAGGAAAAAAGATCCTTTGTAAGCACCAGGTATTGAACTCAGGGCCTTGTACTTACTGATCAAGCGCTCTATTGCTTAAGCACCTTTTTGCATTGGTTATCATCGGAGTCTCCCCTTATTCATAAGTCAGATTGAGCTGTGATCCTTGAATTGTGCTTCCTGTTATCAGTGGGTATGACAGTTGTGCACCACTGTGCCCAGCCTTTGTGCTTCCCATACTTGTAACAGGTGGGCACCACCACCATTGATTGTAATGTCATCTTAGGACCTTTTGCCCAGGCAAGTCTCAAACCATCATCTCTGATCTTCACCTCCCAAGTAGCTAGGGTTACAAGCCTTGTGCCTCCTCACCCATCTCTAAAGTGTTCAATAACAAGGATAGAGAACGTTGCTTTCCTACTAGGTGACTTCTCAAGCAAGCCAAGTCCCTGGGTGCAGGCTCACTGGAAGGTGGCCAGACTATCTGCGCGTGCTTGCTCTTTGCTCCCATCACTCGAGGCAGAGTTCAGGTTGAGTCTGGGCTTCTCATCTGTTCAATGAGGTGAGATGGTCCTGAGATTCTGAAAGTTCTCAGATTCACAAGGCCCTTGATTCCTGCAAACCTGAGTGCCACGTCTGTGGCTAGCCTCCCTGCCAGCCTGGCATGGGGCAGACTCCAAAAAGGCTAGATGGAGATAGCCAAGGAATGGAAATGTGGAGTAGGTGAAAAGGTTCCCCTCAAGAGTTTACATCTCCCTTTGCCTTTGCAGTGCATTCTTCCAGAAAATTCTCTCAGGTGTTAACCTAGTAAATCTTGATGTGTGGGCTTAACTCCAATGTAGGCTTCACTAGAGTAATTTCCTCTGCATTGATGGGGTGAGGAAGAGGTGGTATGGACTTCACCCTTGGATGGTGCTTCCTTAACCCTGGGGAAATTGCAGTCCATGGAGACTCTAGCACCTCTAGCCTTCAGCACCTCCAGTATGTTCCTTGTTGGCAAGTAGGTAGTGGCAGAGCTTAGGTGATCTACTGTCTGGACATCTCATATCAAAGTCTGTGCTGAAGACGTCACTCCCTGCACCCCTTTGCTTTTCCTCAAATTGTCTTCCACTGTTTGCCTGCAAAGCCCACAGATGACAGCGGTGGGCTGCAGTGAGAAGTCCCAGCTGGCCCTCACCTGCCTCTCACTCCAGTGTTTTGGAGTCACTCTCTAGACTTTCATGGATCAGACTTAGAGCCTGGTCTTGAATCCAGATGGAGAACATCTGGCTGTGGGCTATATAAGACTTGTAAAGGGGCTGGGAAGGTGGCTCAGTGGTAGAGCGCTTGCCTTGCATGCATGAGGCCCTGGGTTTGATTCCTCAGCACCACATAAGCAAAAAGAAAAAAGCCAGAAGTGGTGCTGTGGCTCAAGTGGTAGAGCGCTAGCCTTGAGCTGAAGAGCTCAGAGACAGCCCCCAAGCCCAGAGTTCAGGTCCCACGACCTGACCCCCCCCCCAAAAAAAAAAAAAAAGACTTGTAAAATCATTTATTTGGTACACAATGTATAAACAAGTGAGTTCCTCCTCCTCCACTTTTTTTTTTTATCGGTTTTGGAGGTTGAACTCAGAGCCTGTTCACTGTCCCTGAGCTGTTTTGCTCAAAGCTAGTGCTCTACCATTTTGAGCCACAGTGCCATTTCCAGTTTTCAGGGGGAGGGAGGGGAGGGAGGGCAGGCGGGAGAGGTGGGTTCATTGAAAATAAGAGTCTCATGGACTTCCCTGCTCAAGCTGGCCTTGAACCATGATCCTCAGCTCTCAGGCTCCTGAGTAACTAGGATTACAGATGTGAGCCAACTAGCACCCAGTTTCCTCCTCCTCTTCTTCATCCTTTTTGTGGCAGTATTAGGGCTTAAACTCAAGACCTAGGTGCTGTCTCAACTTAGCTAGCACTCTATCACTTGAGCTACAAGTCCCAGCTTTTTGGAGAGGAGTCTCATGGATTTTCCTGCCTGGGGCTGGTTTCAAACCTCAGCCTCCTGAGAGGCTAGGATTACAGTCATGAGCCACTGGAGCTCTGCCATATGCTTCTCATTGGCCATCTACCTTTGTTGATAATTCTGTTTGGCTTGTGAACGATACTAAAATATCCAAATAGTCCTTGCATGGAAAAGGCTACCTGCCCCTGGGTGATGACTGATCTCTCTGGTTTTCACACCCCCGAGCCCCTAACCGGGCCTGGAGTATGATCCAGAGCCTTGACATACAGCTATCTGGGTACTGAGTGGCTTGCCGGGGGCCTGGAGCAGGGATCAGGGGTCAGGCTGGGTGATATGCTAAGCTGGGTCCCACTTGCTGACATCCGCTTTATTGCATTAAAGTCTTTCTCTGAAGGGTGAGTAAGTGCTCAGAATCAGGCGCATGAGCATTATTCATACAGCAGTGAGTCACTGGGGGTCAGCCAAGTGAAGCCTCACAGCTGGGGAAGGCTCTGGAACTCTCACTCCACTTAATAGTCTCTTCAGTCATTCCTTGCACCTCCATGTTTTGCCAGGATCAACTTGACATTGGCTTCCAGTGCCAAGTGGGAATTCAAGCTGGTGGTATTCAGTTCCTTCACCCACTTTGAAGAGACCCTTCTTCTGGTTTCCGGCATCCTGACCCGTAGAGAATAGAGCTGTTAGTTCTCCCCTATGCCATTTTTCTAGCTATATCTGTGCATCAGCCCTCTCAGTTCCATCCTCTGAGTTGGGCCTGATGGGGACAGGAGACATATGAACCCCTTCAACCCAGTATCCCACATGCTGGTGCCTCTATGCACCCATGGGGTCTCCCTTGTCTGAGACTCCTGGGGAAAATGTCTCTCCAACTTTCTTTTCTTTTCCTTTTTGTCGGTTGTGGGGCTTGCACTCTGGGCCTGGGTGCTGCCCCTCCGCTCTTCAGCTCAAGGCAAGCACTCTACCAGTTCAGCAACAGCACCACTTCCAGTTTTCTGGTGGTTTATTGGAGATAAGAATCTCATGGACTTTCCTACCCAGGCTGGCTTTGAACTGTTATTCTCAGATCTTAGCCTCCTGAGTAGCTAGGATTACAGGCCTGAGCCACTGGCACCTGGTTCTTCTCCCCAACTTTTAACACCCTGAATAGCCACACCTCTC